ACGTGATGACACGTTAGGCTTGTGTTGTGTTCAAGGACCCTGACCTTGGCCTGGAAAAACAGGCACTTGCTTGTTTAAATCTTTTGCGGTCTAGATTTCTTTAATCTTTTTCTTTTTTGCGTGTGTTTATAAATTACCTCGAGGGCCATACCAAATTGTCTCCGGCCCGGGGGCTGGAGGTTCCCCACCCTTGCTGTACGACTTTATCCTCTTTAAAATACTTCAACTTCTGTGTTATAAAAAGACTCAAATGAATACTCATGATACAAAAACTTTCAATTTTATTCTTAAAAGTAGTTTAAACAATCAAAACATAATCAGTAATGTAAGGTTACATTTACACTTATTGTGAGGTCAAAATCAAGCCTTAATTTAAATTATAATTAAAGTAAATTATTCAACTATAGAATGTATATCTTTCATGAATGAATAAATGGAAGACAAATGAATCAATGTCCTTGATAATGTAAAGCATTCATGTACAAACAGTTTATTTGGATTATATTTACAATTCATCTTTTTTTTCTTTCATATTGTCACATTTTAAACGCCGAAATCAGCAGCAAATATTCAGTATTGGATAATCAAATTAATCAATTAAAAAATAACCTGAGGATAGCATCAAATATGAGTTTTTTCCCCCTAAAACTCCTAGAACATGTATACCATCATTGACATGCAGGATGGCATTTTGCAAGTACCATTACTCAAGACTTTGGACATTAGCCTGTTGATACAGAGACCTCCGTTGGTGATATCTTCAGTGGGAGTGTGTTCAAGGAGCCAAAGTGTGGAAACAGTCTGTCAGTGAACTTGTGTGTGAAGGTGTGTATGTGTGTGTTAGCATCAGCATCATAGAAGGACAGCTTTCCTTTGACAAAGTCCAGCTGAACTCTGACCCTCTGGAGCTCCTTCACTGAGAGAACTTTATCCTGGAGCGGTGGGGCGACTGCTTTGAGTATTCCATCAATGAGAAGGATTGCCAGTAGCTAGTTGGTGTTTGTCCCTTTGTCTCCACACCTAGGACCCAATATGCATCATTTCTAACCTCAACATTCCAGCTGTGAATGCCAGAGGTAAAACCCCCAGAGCCCAGGACCAGGACGTCATGCCTCTCTGGGTTTTCCGGAAGCTTCTGTTCTCTCCACATCTCATACTGGTCAGATCCTCAGACAGGATGAGCTCTGCATGAGCAGTGTTTGGATCCAGAATCACATGAGAGTAGGAGACCATGTCCTTCATCTTGTTCCAGATGTTAAAGGTCAGGTTGCCCAGGTGTTTGGCCTGGTCTAACAGAGCCCCTAGGTGCAGCTGTGGATCCTCCAGCTGGAGGCGCTGCTGCACTCTTTTCACTGTTTGCTGGTGTTTCAGCAGAAATAAGACGTCTCCAGCTCTCAGCTCTTCCTCTGTGGCTTTGATTGTTTCTGTAAGAGCTTCTATGTCTCTGCTCAGGGCCGAAATCTTCCCGTCCATCATTGACATCTTCTGTACCTTTTCAATCTCCAGAGCACCCAGCCTAGCCTTTTCCTCCTCTTGTAGAAACTTGTGAAGCTTCTTAAACTGCTCCTTAATTCGCCCCTCTGTTTGTTGCACCTGGACATTAATGTGTTCTGCTGTTTGCCCAAAGTTTCCTTTAATTTGTTCAAAGAGTTTCAGTTTCTCCTGTAAGGGCTTCAGGGATTTCTCGAGCTCCTTTTTGAGGGCTTTGGCTGCTTCATCGACGGGTGTGAAACTGTGGTTGCTGTGTGTTTTTGAATCTCTGCAGATGACACACACTGGTTCCTGATGCTGCTGACAGAAGAGTTTCAGTTTCTCAGAGTGCAGACTGCAGAGAGCTTCTGAGGTTATTCTCTGCAATACGAAGGTCTCACACAGATTCTTTAATGCCAGGTTACATGGTGGATCACATGTCGGGGATATTTTATTACAGCACGGACACATGCAAATTAGTTGCCCCCCCCCACCATGTCTGCAGACAGTCTTTACAGAAGCTGTGGCTACATGACAACACAACAGGCTGTTTAAAGATGTCCTTGCAGACAGGACAGATGAGTTCCTCGTCAGATGGAAAAAACATCTGTCTTCGAGTGAATTACAAAACAGACAGTGGGTCAGTTGTACTTCCTTATGAAGTCCTTTTTATAATGTGAAATCAGCAGCAGTTTGGGGAAGTACTCGTATAAAGGAGATGTGGGCTCCGGGGGTCAGGTTGTTAGCGCACGAGATGCATATGTGTCCCAATGTAAGAACAGGGAATCAGACTTTGCCAGTGATGTTGATTTGTTTAGGGTGTGGTCTGTAACAATAAAGCAAACCATGGAAATATTATTAATAGCACAAACAATTACAAATAATACAGTTAACCCTACTCGAGGGGCACCGATGCAAATGACACAAATCAGGATCGGCCAATAATTAGTTCACACTGTGTTTTCATATCCAGGGCTGAGAAAGAACATTATTATTAATAGCATAATGGTACGTTGTGCGACATATAAAAGATAATATAAAACTGTAATAATGAGCCTTTGAAATATAATGAACATTTGACATGGCGCATGTGAGTCACAGCGCAATGCACGGACAAAGCGGTTCGCCCGTCAGCGGCATAAACAGCAGAAGCTCGGTAATGTGTGTCAGACCAGGCAGCGAGGACACTCTGAACATTTAGTCAATTCTTCACACAGTATATCATAACTTACATCTTCACACACAACTTGGGGATGTGTAACTAAATTGTAACGCCAACAAAATAACCAAACAAATAATAATAAATAAAGAAACAAGTAAAAATATATATCATCCAGTAGTTTTAAATGTAAATAGTAATACATATAACAAACCCATCAATAATACACAGCAAACAGAAAAATATCTGGCAAAGATATTGGTGGAAAGCTACAAAATAATCTTCTTCTGTTTGAGGTTTGTAAATATGAATACACTCACCTGTATGCCTTAACACAGCCGTAAACAAAGGCAAAAGAAACAGGAGGAGAAAAAACAAGTCCTCTTTGAATATCTCAAAAACTAAAGTAAACCATTGACCACCCAGAGAAGGCGGAGCATATTTCCACCAGACTAAAGAAAACGTCATTATTGTGAAATGAGATCCAAACACAGATCATGAACACTGTTGGACCACAATCGTTCCTTAGGGTTTGTTTAGGCCTAATCATTTTGATAGGATTCATTCTTAATCTCAAGCGGAAACAATAGTCCAACACACAAAATATTTGGCTGATGCGTCCAGTAAAATGCAAGAGTCTGTGGACGGACGGACAGATACAGACGCACACATTCAGACAAACATCGGATGTTCTGGTTGGGATAATAAATCACTGCAATGGCTTTGCAAAACGCTGAATGGGAAAATAAAGTATCAGTTGAATTCCCACCTCAACAAGTTGCGGCATATTCTAAATATTAGGATTACTTCCTCTATATATTTATTATTATTATTATTATTATTATTATTATTATTATTATTATTATTATTATTATTATTCACAAAACTTTGCAACTTTTTCTCAAAATATTGGAAATCTAATTTTGAAATCTAATCTCAATGTTGAAATGTTGTGACTGTTTCTTATACTGTACGACAGGGGTGGGGAACCTTTTTCCTCTCAAGGGCCATTTCAATTTTTTCAACATCCTCCGAGGGCCGTACAATTTATTAACCTCTGCTTAAAAATACTAAAATCACAGCCCATTCATTTGGCCTTTCTTTCATGCTGTGCAAATAAAAAGCAACCTCTTAATCCAGATATCTTACCATGACTCACGTATGCATGCACGTGCACGGTTGTGGCATGACCACCAAAACAGAAAGATATGGACACAAGATGTGTGCAAATGTATTTAGTTTCCTATCCATGTGGACATGATTTAAGTGGGGGGTGGACCTAACCTCCTCTAGGGGGGTCCAGGGGCATGCTCCCCCAGGAAGATTTTTTTTTAAATGTTGAAGTTAAAAGCATCAATCTGGTGCACTTTGAGAGCAACATTAAGAGATCTATGGATACATCTCTCAACACCCATATGAAACAGAACTGTAAGCAGATTTATTTTTCTTTATGGATATTTTACAAATCACTCCCCTTTCAAACTGTATTCTTGTTTATTAATAACAACTTTTTTTTACTGTCATATAGTATTTTATACCTGTTTACTTTATTCTTATTTTTTTATAACTATAATGATCATATAAAGATGTGCCTCTACCTCACTGGTTGTAGAAAAAGCTTCTTATATTCGTTAGCATAGCTAGCTAACCAGATGCTAATAACAACAAAGTTATTGACTGTATGATCAGTATGACAGATGAACAGATCGCCACTGGGCTTTACAACTAAAGACACAGCCACGAAAAAACTGCGGCATGTGTACGGCTCCTTATGGGTACTGCAATGTTTGGAAGTGGCGGAGCGACGTTCTGGTGCTCTCAGTCAGAACTGCACCCCTGTCAGACGAGACATATACCACGTGATGACACGTTAGGCTTGTGTTGTGTTCAAGGACCCTGACCTTGGCCTGGAAAAACAGGCACTTGCTTGTTTAAATCTTTTGCGGTCTAGATTTCTTTAATCTTTTTCTTTTTTGCGTGTGTTTATAAATTACCTCGAGGGCCATACCAAATTGTCTCCGGCCCGGGGGCTGGAGGTTCCCCACCCCTGCTGTACGACTTTATCCTCTTTAAAATACTTCAACTTCTGTGTTATAAAAAGACTCAAATGAATACTCATGATACAAAAACTTTCAATTTTATTCTTAAAAGTAGTTTAAACAATCAAAACATAATCAGTAATGTAAGGTTACATTTACACTTATTGTGAGGTCAAAATCAAGCCTTCATTTAAATTATAATTAAAGTAAATTATTCAACTATAGAATGTATATCTTTCATGAATGAATAAATGGAAGACAAATGAATCAATGTCCTTGATAATGTAAAGCATTCATGTACAAACAGTTTATTTGGATTATATTTACTGCGGTTTTCATATTGTCACATTTTAAACGCCGAAATCAGCAGCAAATATTCAGTATTGGATAATCAAATTAATCAATTAAAAAATAACCTGAGGATAGCATCAAATATGAGTTTTTTCCCCCTAAAACTCCTAGAACATGTATACCATCATTGACATGCAGGATGGCATTTTGCAAGTACCATTACTCAAGACTTTGGACATTAGCCTGTTGATACAGAGACCTCCGTTGGTGATATCTTCAGTGGGAGTGTGTTCAAGGAGCCAAAGTGTGGAAACAGTCTGTCAGTGAACTTGTGTGTGAAGGTGTGTATGTGTGTGTTAGCATCAGCATCATAGAAGGACAGCTTTCCTTTGACAAAGTCCAGCTGAACTCTGACCCTCTGGAGCTCCTTCACTGAGAGAACTTTATCCTGGAGCGGTGGGGCGACTGCTTTGAGTATTCCATCAATGAGAAGGATTTGCCAGTAGCTAGTTGGTGTTTGTCCCTTTGTCTCCACACCTAGGACCCAATATGCATCATTTCTAACCTCAACATTCCAGCTGTGAATGCCAGAGGTAAAACCCCCAGAGCCCAGGACCAGGACGTCATGCCTCTCTGGGTTTTCCGGAAGCTTCTGTTTCTCTCCACATCTCATACTGGTCAGATCCTCAGACAGGATGAGCTCTGCATGAGCAGTGTTTGGATCCAGAATCACATGAGAGTAGGAGACCATGTCCTTCATCTTGTTCCAGATGTTAAAGGTCAGGTTGCCCAGGTGTTTGGCCTGGTCTAACAGAGCCCTTAGGTGCAGCTGTGGATCCTCCAGCTGGAGGCGCTGCTGCACTCTTTTCACTGTTTGCTGGTGTTTCAGCAGAAATAAGACGTCTCCAGCTCTCAGCTCTTCCTCTGTGGCTTTGATTGTTTCTGTAAGAGCTTCTATGTCTCTGCTCAGGGCCGAAATCTTCCCGTCCATCATTGACATCTTCTGTACCTTTTCAATCTCCAGAGCACCCAGCCTAGCCTTTTCCTCCTCTTGTAGAAACTTGTGAAGCTTCTTAAACTGCTCCTTAATTCGCCCCTCTGTTTGTTGCACCTGGACATTAATGTGTTCTGCTGTTTGCCCAAAGTTTCCTTTAATTTGTTCAAAGAGTTTCAGTTTCTCCTGTAAGGGCTTCAGGGATTTCTCGAGCTCCTTTTTGAGGGCTTTGGCTGCTTCATCGACGGGTGTGAAACTGTGGTTGCTGTGTGTTTTTGAATCTCTGCAGATGACACACACTGGTTCCTGATGCTGCTGACAGAAGAGTTTCAGTTTCTCAGAGTGCAGACTGCAGAGAGCTTCTGAGGTTATTCTCTGCAATACGAAGGTCTCACACAGATTCTTTAATGCCAGGTTACATGGTGGATCACATGTCGGGGATATTTTATTACAGCACGGACACATGCAAATTAGTTGCCCCCCCCACCATGTCTGCAGACAGTCTTTACAGAAGCTGTGGCTACATGACAACACAACAGGCTGTTTAAAGATGTCCTTGCAGACAGGACAGATGAGTTCCTCGTCAGATGGAAAAAACATCTGTCTTCGAGTGAATTACAAAACAGACAGTGGGTCAGTTGTACTTCCTTATGAAGTCCTTTTTATAATGTGAAATCAGCAGCAGTTTGGGGAAGTACTCGTATAAAGGAGATGTGGGCTCCGGGGGTCAGGTTGTTAGCGCACGAGATGCATATGTGTCCCAATGTAAGAACAGGGAATCAGACTTTGCCAGTGATGTTGATTTGTTTAGGGTGTGGTCTGTAACAATAAAGCAAACCATGGAAATATTATTAATAGCACAAACAATTACAAATAATACAGTTAACCCTACTCGAGGGGCACCGATGCAAATGACACAAATCAGGATCGGCCAATAATTTGTTCACACTGTGTTTTCATATCCAGGGCTGAGAAAGAACATTATTATTAATAGCATAATGGTACGTTGTGCGACATATAAAAGATAATATAAAACTGTAATAATGAGCCTTTGAAATATAATGAACATTTGACATGGCGCATGTGAGTCACAGCGCAATGCACGGACAAAGCGGTTCGCCCGTCAGCGGCATAAACAGCAGAAGCTCGGTAATGTGTGTCAGACCAGGCAGCGAGGACACTCTGAACATTTAGTCAATTCTTCACACAGTATATCATAACTTACATCTTCACACACAACTTGGGGATGTGTAACTAAATTGTAACGCCAACAAAATAACCAAACAAATAATAATAAATAAAGAAACAAGTAAAAATATATATCATCCAGTAGTTTTAAATGTAAATAGTAATAAATATAACAAACCCATCAATAATACACAGCAAACAGAAAAATATCTGGCAAAGATATTGGTGGAAAGCTACAAAATAATCTTCTTCTGTTTGAGGTTTGTAAATATGAATACACTCACCTGTATGCCTTAACACAGCCGTAAACAAAGGCAAAAGAAACAGGAGGAGAAAAAACAAGTCCTCTTTGAATATCTCAAAAACTAAAGTAAACCATTGACCACCCAGAGAAGGCGGAGCATATTTCCACCAGACTAAAGAAAACGTCATTATTGTGAAATGAGATCCAAACACAGATCATGAACACTGTTGGACCACAATCGTTCCTTAGGGTTTGTTTAGGCCTAATCATTTTGATAGGATTCATTCTTAATCTCAAGCGGAAACAATAGTCCAACACACAAAATATTTGGCTGATGCATCCAGTAAAATGCAAGAGTCTGTGGACGGACGGACAGATACAGACGCACACATTCAGACAAACATCGGATGTTCTGGTTGGGATAATAAATCACTGCAATGGCTTTGCAAAACGCTGAATGGGAAAATAAAGTATCAGTTGAATTCCCACCTCAACAAGTTGCGGCATATTCTAAATATTAGGATTACTTCCTCTATATATGTATTATTATTATTATTATTATTATTATTATTATTATTCACAAAACTTTGCAACTTTTTCTCAAAATATTGGAAATCTAATTTTGAAATCTAATCTCAATGTTGAAATGTTGTGACTGTTTCTTATACTGTACGACAGGGGTGGGGAACCTTTTTCCTCTCAAGGGCCATTTCAATTTTTTCAACATCCTCCGAGGGCCGTACAATTTATTAACCTCTGCTTAAAAATACTAAAATCACAGCCCATTCATTTGGCCTTTCTTTCATGCTGTGCAAATAAAAAGCAACCTCTTAATCCAGATATCTTACCATGACTCACGTATGCATGCACGTGCACGGTTGTGGCATGACCACCAAAACAGAAAGATATGGACACAAGATGTGTGCAAATGTATTTAGTTTCCTATCCATGTGGACATGATTTAAGTGGGGGGTGGACCTAACCTCCTCTAGGGGGGTCCGGGGGGCATGCTCCCCCAGGAAGATTTTTTTTTAAATGTTGAAGTTAAAAGCATCAATCTGGTGCACTTTGAGAGCAACATTAAGAGATCTATGGATACATCTCTCAACACCCATATGAAACAGAACTGTAAGCAGATTTATTTTTCTTTATGGATATTTTACAAATCACTCCCCTTTCAAACTGTATTCTTGTTTATTAATAACAACTTTTTTTTACTGTCATATAGTATTTTATACCTGTTTACTTTATTCTTATTTTTTTATAACTATAATGATCATATAAAGATGTGCCTCTACCTCACTGGTTGTAGAAAAAGCTTCTTATATTCGTTAGCATAGCTAGCTAACCAGATGCTAATAACAACAAAGTTATTGACTGTATGATCAGTATGACAGATGAACAGATCGCCACTGGGCTTTCAACTAAAGACACAGCCACGAAAAAACTGCGGCATGTGTACGGCTCCTTATGGGTACTGCAATTTTAGGAAGTGGCGGAGCGACGTTCTGGTGCTCTCAGTCAGAACTGCACCCCTGTCAGACGAGACATATACCACGTGATGACACGTTAGGCTTGTGTTGTGTTCAAGGACCCTGATCTTGGCCTGGAAAAACAGGCACTTGCTTGTTTAAATCTTTTGCGGTCTAGATTTCTTTAATCTTTTTCTTTTTTGCGTGTGTTTATAAATTACCTCGAGGGCCATACCAAATTGTCTCCGGCCCGGGGGCTGGAGGTTCCCCACCCTTGCTGTACGACTTTATCCTCTTTAAAATACTTCAACTTCTGTGTTATAAAAAGACTCAAATGAATACTCATGATACAAAAACTTTCAATTTTATTCTTAAAAGTAGTTTAAACAATCAAAACATAATCAGTAATGTAAGGTTACATTTACACTTATTGTGAGGTCAAAATCAAGCCTTAATTTAAATTATAATTAAAGTAAATTATTCAACTATAGAATGTATATCTTTCATGAATGAATAAATGGAAGACAAATGAATCAATGTCCTTGACATTAAAGCATTCATGTACAAACAGTTTATTTGGATTATATTTACAATTCATCTTTTTTTTCTTTCATATTGTCACATTTTAAACGCCGAAATCAGCAGCAAATATTCAGTATTGGATAATCAAATTAATCAATTAAAAAATAACCTGAGGATAGCATCAAATATGAGTTTTTTCCCCCTAAAACTCCTAGAACATGTATACCATCATTGACATGCAGGATGGCATTTTGCAAGTACCATTACTCAAGACTTTGGACATTAGCCTGTTGATACAGAGACCTCCGTTGGTGATATCTTCAGTGGGAGTGTGTTCAAGGAGCCAAATTGTGGAAACAGCCTGTCGGTGAACTTGTGTGTGAAGGTGTGTATGTGTGTGTTAGCATCAGCATCATAGAAGGACAGCTTTCCTTTGACAAAGTCCAGCTGAACTCTGACCCTCTGGAGCTCCTTCACTGAGAGAACTTTATCCTGGAGCGGTGGGGCGACTGCTTTGAGTATTCCATCAATGAGAAGGATTTGCCAGTATCTAGTTGGTGTTTGTCCCTTTGTCTCCACACCTAGGACCCAATATGCATCATTTCTAACCTCAACATTCCAGCTGTGAATGCCAGAGGTAAAACCCCCAGAGCCCAGGACAACCGGGTTGAAATCATGCCTCTCTGGGTTTTCCGGAAGCTTCTGTTTCTCTCCACATCTCATACTGGTCAGATCCTCAGACAGGATGAACTCTGCATGAGCAGTGTTTGGATCCAGAATCACATGAGAGTAGGAGACCATGTCCTTCATCTTGTTCCAGATGTTAAAGGTCAGGTTGCCCAGGTGTTTGGCCTGGTCTAACAGAGCCCCTAGGTGCAGCTGTGGATCCTCCAGCTGGAGGCGCTGCTGCACTCTTTTCACTGTTTCCTGGTGGTTCAGCAGGAATAAGACGTCTCCAGCTCTCAGCTCTTCCTCTGTGGCTTTGATTGTTTCTGTAAGAGCTTCTATGTCTCTGCTCAGGGCCGAAATCTTCCCGTCCATCATTGACATCTTCTGTACCTTTTCAATCTCCAGAGCACCCAGCCTAGCCTTTTCCTCCTCTTGTAGAAACTTGTGAAGCTTCTTAAACTGCTCCTTAATTCGCCCCTCTGTTTGTTGCACCTGGACATTAATGTGTTCTGCTGTTTGCCCAAAGTTTCCTTTAATTTGTTCAAAGAGTTTCAGTTTCTCCTGTAAGGGCTTCAGGGATTTCTCGAGCTCCTTTTTGAGGGCTTTGGCTGCTTCATCGACGGGTGTGAAACTGTGGTTGCTGTGTGTTTTTGAATCTCTGCAGATGACACACACTGGTTCCTGATGCTGCTGACAGAAGAGTTTCAGTTTCTCAGAGTGCAGACTGCAGGTTATTTTCTGCAATACGAAGGTCTCACACAGATTCTTTAATGCCAGGTTACATGGTGGCTCACATGTCGGGGATATTTTATTACAGCACGGACACATGCAAATTAGTTGCCCCCCCCACCATGTCTGCAGACAGTCTTTACAGAAGCTGTGGCTACATGACAACACAACAGGCTGTTTAAAGATGTCCTTGCAGACAGGACAGATGAGTTCCTCGTCAGATTGAAAAAACATCTGTCTTCGAGTGAATTACAAAACACAGTGGGTCAGTTGTACTTCCTTATGAAGTCCTTTTTATAATGTGAAATCAGCAGCAGTTTGGGGAAGTACTCGTATAAAGGAGATGTGGGCTCCGGGGGTCAGGTTGTTAGCGCACGAGATGCATATGTGTCCCAATGTAAGAACAGGGAATCAGACTTTGCCAGTGATGTTGATTTGTTTAGGGTGTGGTCTGTAACAATAAAGCAAACCATGGAAATATTATTAATAGCACAAACAATTACAAATAATACAGTTAACCCTACTCGAGGGGCACCGATGCAAATGACACAAATCAGGATCGGCCAATAATTAGTTCACACTGTGTTTTCATATCCACGGCTGAGAAAGAACATTATTATTAATAGCATAATGGTACGTTGTGCGACATATAAAAGATAATATAAAACTGTAATAATGAGCCTTTGAAATATAATTAACATTTGACATGGCGCATGTGAGTCACAGCGCAATGCACGGACAAAGCGGTTCGCCCGTCACCGGCATAAACAGCAGAAGCTCGGTAATGTGTGTCAGACCAGGCAGCGAGGACACTCTGAACATTTAGTCAATTCTTCACACAGTATATCATAACTTACATCTTCACACACAACTTGGGGATGTGTAACTAAATTGTAACGCCAACAAAATAACCAAACACATAATAATAATAATAATAATAATGCATCACATTTTTTATTAGAGCGCTTTTGCAGGTGTTCAAAGCGCTTTACACATATTAGACATGTAAGAGTCATTACTGTGGACATTACCCACAAGAGCAAATTCGGGTGAAGTGTCTTGCCCAAGGACACAACAGCCTGACACAGTGGCGGCTGAGGCGGGTTTCGAACTGGAGTTCACCAAAGCCCCTTGATCTGATGATCAACGCTCTAACCCAGGGGTTCCCAACCCCCGGTCCGCGGACCGGTACCGGGCCGCGGAGGTGTTACTGCCGGGCCGCGAAATAGCTGTGAGTTTATCGTAATATTTGCAGAATTATAAATATATAAAGATATTTTATCATAATATTTTTTTCAAAAAGTGTGTAATTTTCGCACCTATGCCACCAGTCATATTATTTCATCCAGTAGCTAGTTAATCTTTCACCAGAAAACCGTTGAAAATGGCTTTTATGATGTTCCGAGGGATTCGGCGGCTCAGCCTAAGGTCTCAGCCTCTTGTGCGCACGAGAATGTTACCGGTGCGCCAAGTAGGAAGAGGAGCGCACAGGAGACAACCGTTTGATTGCAGACTGTTATGTTTATGTGGGGAAATGGTGGTGCATACATTATTTGAGATATATTTCAAAGTCGGACTTCATTTTAAGGACATGTCGGCCAGGGGTGTAGAGCTATTTGTTTAAGCACCGGATTGGCAAAACAGGAGAGTAAACCAGTCTGCCTTGATCTATGAATTAATGTCCGGGACTCTCACGGTATCTGCTGCCCGCAGCTGTTTTATACTGTAGAAGGAAAACCTCCTTCACTTCATGAAATGGCTGCAGCATCAGGAGGCAGCGGGACGTATACTCCGCCTCTGAGAAGTGCAGCACCAGCGGGTAAAGAGCTGTGCCTT